ATGTCTGTGACAGATGGCTGTGTGCATTAATGAAAATGAGAGAAAATAATGAAAAATGAGTGCAAATTACGAATATAAGAACAACCCTTTTAATAAATATGCTTTGTTTAATCACTCCAGCAATCACTGTTTGTTTGGGCAGTTCTTATCTTTTTAAATCATGAATGTACTATCTTTTTAAATAATGTTATGAATACTTTTGCACTTCTCATTAATACTAATTAATCTCTATATATTATGATTGTTTTTAAAAAAAATAATTATGCATGCAATCTTTGCAACCCTGTTATAATAATAGGTAGTGAATAGTTAATAATTGTTTGTTTTTCTAAACAATAGATCTTGTTAGTTTCAGTTATACAGTTTTGTATATATGTAACCATTTGTTGGACATTTTTAAATAGAGATGGACAAAGTATTGGACAAAAAAGTAATAGAAATCCACTACTATAAATGGCCTGCTGGGATGGTGTAACAAGATAATAGCTAAAAGCAATAGTTCGTCCAAAAATGAAAATCATCATTTAATCACCCTAATTTTGTTTCAAACCTATATGACTTTCTTTCTTCTGTGGAAGATAAAGGAAGATATTTTGAGAAGTAATTTTGTGAAATAGAAGTCAATGGTCATCAAAAATGTTTGATTACCAACATTATTCCAAATATCTTCTTTTGTGTCCCACAGAAAGTCATACAGGTTTGGAACAAGACAGTGTTTACATAACAACATTTTATATTTATTTTTTATTAACATATTTAATTAACATATTTAAAAGAATAGTTCACCCAAAAATGAAAATTATGTCATTAATTAAGCGATTCAAACTCATGTCGTTCCAATGACCTGAGTGGTTTAGTCCAAATTTTCTGAAGAGACAAAGAGAGATCAGATATTCACATAAACATTCATCAATTCACACATCAGTTGTGGTAAAAACGGAAATGTTCGCTTGACGTGCGAGAACCAATGAGGTTAATTCTTGTGTTACGCAGCACGTTTAAGCTTCCGCAAGAACCAATGAGGTTTTTTCTCGCGCGTCCAGCAGGTTTGGCTGAGCTTCTGTTTATGTTCGCTGATCAATGTTTAAATGTGAAACATTTACGGGTTTGGAACGGCATGAGGGTGAGTAAATTATGACAGAATTTTAATTTTTGGGTGTATTAACCCTTTAATAGTTCTATAAAATAACACACACACATACACACACACAAAAAACATGGGGTTTCTGCCTTCACGGCTTTAACAAATAATAGGACACTAGTTTGTTATTTATGGAGAGTGTATTTTAACATCTCAGCATATTCAGTGTCTGTCTTGGATGTGAAAAGAAGAAGCATTCAATTCAAGCAGACGCCTCTCAGCATGTCCACCTCTATGTAACCGCAATATTCTGATTATTTTGAATTCAACAGACTCACAGAAGCCTGGCACAGGAATCAAAAGCCATACTGTCTTTCTTATTTCTTTTAAATAAAAAGGTTTTTTTTTGTAAAGGCGTAACTGCCAATTCCTCTTATACCACTCCTGAGCCAAAACCCTACAGGTGCCTATCTCTAAAATGATGCCAGGTTTGTGACACCAGGTCGGCGGGTTGGCATAGAGTGGCACTCATATCCCCCTGGTAAACCCAGGATTCTGGCAAAAGTCAGTGCTGAAGACGCGCTGTGGCATTATGGGTAAAACCCATCGCATTAATGTGAGTGGTTACTCCTTGATATAAAAGAGCTTTTTCCAAATCTGAACACTCTTACAGAAGAATAAATGTTTCATCATGAATGTTTCATCATGAATAATAGATACATTTGATCTATCTTGCTAAGTGTTTTTTTATTATTTTGTATAAATAAAGTAAGAATATCAGACGTCTGGACTCACACTGCACTGACAGACTGACTGAAGAGATTTATTAAGATTAATGGGATAAATCGGATATAGTGTTTGAAATGAAGACAATACTGTGACGCATTGTGGTTGTGAAATATTCGTGAAACATGTCTCTTCATACATTTATTAAGAACTGTCACATCTGGAGATTAAAAGTCATTATGGTACAGTATGACTTTATGAAATATACAGTATTTAGGTATTTGATGGGTCTAATAAATATTTTATAAGATATTTTGTATTGTGTTATTATGTTTTTTTTATTGTTATGATGTTTTGACATGTACTGTGTTATGGTCATTATTTTTTTTAATTATATTTATTACTTTATTGTTATAAACGGTTTGATGAGGTGTTAAATGTATTTATATGGAATAATGTATTATTCAAATTTGACAATTTTTCCTTAAAACTTATATCTGAGTTTTAATATTCCTGATCCAAAACGTGTAATTCGTTTGCATTTTTAGGCTAATTCCACATCTCACCTGAATTATTTTTTCTGTCTGATGATTTATTGCCGAACTCCTCTGCCCTCTGAACCTGCGCCTGTCCCAATAGGTCACTGCCTAAAGCACCAGGCAGCTGCCAGCGGTTAGTGTGGCCAGCTTGTGTGCGCTGGCCTAGTGAGCGAGCTGACACCTGTTAGAATCATAGAATAACAGTACGTGATGTGCTAAAAGTTTCGAAGACAAATAAATATATTTGGTAAAGAGTCATGAAGAAGATTCAAACTTACACTTCTTGTATAGTTTTGTTGTGAAATGTGGGAGGTTATAAGCACCGACCTGAAAAACAAAAGTACTGAATGGGTAGCCATTTGAAATTACAAGCTTTATATCTCTGAAGTGCAACAAACAAATAAACATTGATTTGAGAAATCAATTAGGGACAGTATATTGGTGTCTAATATAGCATACAGTTGAGCAGGGGTTTTCAAACTGAAGTCTGGGGGCCACAAGGGACTTCAAGGGGGTCTATGGACAAGTTTACAGAATAACAAATGTGAAAATTAATAAATAAATAAGATTGTGGCAAGCAGGGTGGGGCCGAGTGCCGTGGGAACGGAGCGAGGCCTGTGGAACGAGTGGTAATGAGCTGAGTCCCACGGAGGAGCTCCGGAATGATAAAAAAGAGGAGTGACGACAGTCAAGTCGAGAGAGGACCTGGACTTTATGTTGTAATTTTATGTTTATCTGCGGCAGTCGTCCGTGATGGGCTGCCGCTTTACTTTTGTTTTATTGTTTATGTTTATTTTGTCTTTGAACTCCCCATGAAATCAAAATGAACGTTTTTTTGGCTTTTAGAATGCATATTTTTGCCTTAGTGTTATCTATAAGCTAGTGTGCTCTAAAACAATGACACAATTCGAATTTAGAAGAAATAAGCATTCAAGACATTTATGACAGTCCCTCACTTCCGCCAATATGGATCAATGATTTTGATGACATCATGCTGCACTTCAGCTTCTCATCAGATTTTCTGTCCAATCAAATGCTCTCTAGAATCTGAAGCATCCCGCCCCATACATTATAATTAGACGCTGAAGCTGGAGCCAAAATCGGTCACTTGTTCACACATTTACTATTTCCTACATGGTGATAGTGCACTAAATAGGATCATTCCCTATCACCTATAATATAGGGGTCCGATAGGGAACGATTCAGACAGTGTCAAAATAAATTAAATAAATAAATCTCACAGCATAGATTTATTCATTGCCATAATATAGTGAGTTTACTGTAATGTAATACAAACTAAATATTTTCCAAATGACATATTATGCATATTAATAATATAATCTTCGAATTGAGTCTTAGCTGCCTATAACTATATGCTATATGAAACTATAGCTGCCTTTTAAATTTTAGGATGGGGGTCCCTCGCACAGGAATTATCATATGTGGGGTTTGAGGCATCTAAAAAATGTAAAACCCCAATAAATTGCTGAAGACGACGCCATAGTTTGAGCAATCAATTAATCAATTATATTTGATTAGCCAAAACAACATTTAAAAATACAACTGCTATAAATAAATAAATAAATAAATAAATAAATATATAAATAACAGTACAGAACTAAAGTAAAACTATTTAGGATGGGGTCCCTTATGAGACTGATCATATTTGGGGGTCCATGGCATCTAAAAGAATGAACCCTGCAGTGGAAGATTGTAATTGACACTTTAGGACCCTGTATTAAGTGATTCTAGTAATTCTACATGACACTTCTTGTGCATTATTAACCCACCTTGTGTGAGGTCTGGGTGGCATATTCCTGGCAGATAAAGGACTCCATTGGATGTGCATTTTGTTTAAAAATCCAAAAAAAAAAAAAAAAAAAAAAAATGCTTTCACTTGTCCTGACTGACAGTCGACATCACGTTCGCAAACATTAAAGACGTTTAAAAACTAAAGAGGTGTAATGAGCGAGGTGTTTCTCACTATAGCCTATATGATGAATAAACACTAAAAGCCGCTAAAAAAAAACAAAAAAAAACAGGCTGTAAGTTACTTTACAGATGAATGAAGAGTGAGGGAGATCGAGACTTAGCTAGCCGTAGAGTTGGTGGTCTATAATTTAAACTTCTTGTTGACAGGTTTTGTTGCTAGGATACATGTGGGTCACTTGACCTGTTAGTGTCAGATGACACAAATGAACATTTTCCAAAACAAACAAATGAAACAAAATGCTACATAGACAAATTAAAACATGCTTGCTGCATTCACTTTGCCCCAATATGTTGACAATCCTAAACTGTCTTATTCTTCCATTCAGTTTAATCACTGGTTAGCCGTTTTTGTACTAACCAAATATTCTATAGTTGAATACCTACTTGGGTGTGTATATATATATATATATATATATATATATATATATATATATATATATATATTGCCAATATTATTTTATTAAATTCCTTAACATAAACCCGACAAGAGCCTACAATCCCCATAATTCAATGAGAAGAAGTACGTGACGACCATCGCGTTCAAGTTCAAGACTCTTTCTAAAACTAGCCAATCACACGCCTCGAAAATCCTCCGACATATGCATTGCGCGGCCTGTGATTGGTCAAGATTGATACGCCTGTGCCGCGACGCGATTGTCGTGACGCGAAAACGTGAAGGAGGGGGAACGCGAATGGAGGCCGTTGGTGTTTCAGAGCCGAAACAATTGAGGGAGAAATACATGAGGAAAACTCAAATAGCAAGCCTGTGAATTTTTATATTTAGTTATATCGAAACTCATATCTCATATACACGTATAAATGTGTCGGTGGAGGTCGTGAGGCAGTGCGTGTCAGTATTTAGTGTTTGTTTATAGTATTAGTGGAACTCAAAGGCCCGGATTCACTCTCTTCACCAACCTGGCGAGTAACGTTATTTAACCTCATTTGGTCCTGCTGTGTCCTCACGTCTTCTGTACATTCTAAATATGCATTGTAACTTAGTATTAAATGAGTTTTAATGCTGGAAAAGAAGTGTATTTCATAACATAGCCTTATTAGCCTGCTAGCTTCTCATGCTAATCCTCTTGCTAGCCTATTAGCCGTTAGCATGGATATGTTGTTTTTATCAACTGTTAGCTTTTAGACCCTCTTTCGTTTTAATCCGAGAGAAAACGTTGCGTTAATGTATTATTTGCTTAGCGAAGGAAATAAAGTTGTTAAAATGACAGATAAACAGAAGACAGCAGGTAAAATAAATAGAATTAGCCTGTTATCCCACTAGCTTTTAGCTTTCTTAGTTTATTGCTGCTTATTAATGGAAATTCGCTGCGTTTGCAATAATGTCGAATGTATTTCTAGCATAAATTATGTTTTTAATATTTTTGAGGTTGTCCAGTTCTGGTATAGCTAGGTTGTAAACCAATGGCGGGCTATAAGTTATTATGATGGTAATATCATGGTACTGAATGATTGCCATATTGATGTTGCATGTCATTTACTTAGTAGGCTACTTCATGGAATTGAATTCTAAAATTCATGGTAGTTTTTTGGTTCTTTTTAATGCTATTATAGCCACAATATTGCACTTGCCTTTTATTAGTTGCTATGAAATGTAAGATTATGCTTCTCTCTTTTTGTGCACATTGCACCAGATTAGTTTTTCTTATTTAGAGCACAAAGTGACTTTTAAACCTATTTATTTAGTTATTTGTGATGCCTCTGTGTATGTAAAGTTTCAGTGTTTGCAAAAATATCGAAAGGTATTATAGCATACATTTTGTTTAATATTGTTGGGGTTGCTTAGTTGGCACTAGCTAGATTGCAAGCCAATGATGGACTCAAATTATGAAGATCGTAATACCATGGTATGATTGCCATATTAATGTGCCATGACATTTAGTTCAAGGAATAGTTTTACAGCCTTGGCTTGTCTAAAATCAGTGGTTTTGGTTCTTTTTAGTGCTGTTAGTAGCCCTTACACGATCATTAATTTTTCTGCTGATGATTAATTGTCATACAAATATTGCGATTAACAATTTAATTCTGTTTTATGTTAGTGTAATGTTATATTTTTACTTCGAGTACAGTAGTGTCATAAAAAAATATAATAATATGCCCATAGTATTAACTTTAATGCTGTGAAAATTAGTATTTATATAATTATTTATAATAATATAATGTAATTGATTAAACCCACAAACCTTCATTTCGTTTAAAGACCTGACTATCTTTGTACTTGAGAACAAGGCAAAGGCAAAAATGTGATAGAAATTTATACTACAGTGCACAATTAATGTGATTATCTCAAATAATTATGATTAGATCAAAAAACCACGATCAGACAATAATTCAATAATCGCGACAGGCCTAGCTGTTATAGAAGTTAGGATCTTGAAACTTGCACTGCTTTTTATTAGCTGTTGTGTATAGCAAAGCTTACACTTCTCAGATTTTAGGCCCCGTCCACACTACTGCGTTTTCGTTTAAAAACGGAGACCTTTTGCTACGTTTGCACCTCCCGTCCACACTAAAACGGCAAAAACGGAGACCCAAAACGGAGAAGTTTAGAAACGCTGCCGACCCGTTTTTCGTTTTGAATCTCCGGAGGGCGTTTTAGTGTAGACGGGTCAAAACGGAGGACTTTAGAAACGTTGACGTAGTAGAGGCTCACGCTCGGCTCTATGATTGGGTGTCATCAGTCATGGCGTATATCTTTGCTAGCAGCTGTTGTACAAGTAAATTCTGCATTTTACAACGCTATAACTGCCTACATGCACCGGAGTCAAGCTATTATTCGAGTGATCTGTGACAATTCCCATGTGCAGCGGCGGCGTTGACCGTACGGAGCGTCGGTTTGTGGTTAACCCAGAGCATGGTGGGATAATTTTATCAATGAAGTTGTGTTTACACCGGCACGCGCATGCCCAGTGTTGGTGAATGGTCACGTGATCCACGTTTTCAGTCGTTTTAATGTGGACGGAGATCAATTCTAATACGCAGCTAAAACGCTGGTGTGGACGGAGATCGTATTCGTTTTAATTATCCGTTTCTAAACTAAAACGCAGTAGTGTGGATGGGGCCTTAGGCCTATTGCATCAGATTGTTTTTCTTATGTTGGACACAAAGTTACTTTTTAACCCTTTTTACTTTGTTAGTTGTGAGATGTGAATAGAAACCAAACTCCTTTTATACAATTATTCTGATTCCTACGTTTTATCAGCACAGAAACTAAAGTAGTTGTCTTGTTTGAATGAGTTTACGAGTGCATGTGTTTTATAATAAGTAGCCCCATTTATCTTTTAGGTTCAGACATGAAGAATGCAGAATAATGTTGATTTTATTCATTATGAACAACAGATGAATCTTGAGGCAAATTGTTAATAATCAGCATTTGATTGCAAAACAGACAGTGAGTTATTCATGAAACAGTTTGTTATCGTTTACAGGGAATATGAGACGGATGCCACAATGACGTCTAGATTTGGAAAAACATACAGCCGAAGAGGAGGAGATGGGACCTCCAAGTTTGACGAGGTTTTGTCCAATAAAAGGGCCACACTCAGCACCAAATGGGGTGAGACGACTTACAAAGCCAAGGTGGGAGCAAAGAGGCCTGGTTTAAAGACCGAGTTGACAGATCAGACCAAGAGGTCCAAGGTCTCAGAAGGTGATGGCTCAGAGGATCCGTTCGGATTCGACAGTGACGACGAATCCAAGCCGGTCACGTCTCGTAGCGTAGCCCAGTCTAAACCCAAAGTGACGTCCACAGGGGGCTCCCAGGCCAGTCTGACGCTGGAGCCCAACAGCAGGGTGAACCAGCCTGCCAGTGTGGAGGCCGTGGCCCCCAGCAGGGCCCCTTTCACTCTCAGCAGTGAGAGAAGTGCTCACAAAGTTCCAGAGGACCCTGGGAAATTTTTTAATACCTCTACCACAGGTATGTTTTGGTCATGGAGGATTTCCCCCCCCCCAAAATACTTGTTCAAATGATATCTGATTTGTTCCAGCGCTCCTGTTTTAATCAGTTGTTATATGTGCTGACAGTGTCGTTCAGGTGTTTGACCCATTTATCTCAACGGGAAGCACTTACTTACCACATTGTATAGACCTGCCCTAGATTTTTTTTGTTTGTGGTTGTTTACTTGCCTGAAACATTTGACAAACTACTTTAATTTACTGAACAAGACTGTATCTAAACATTACTATGTTTGACTTTGAAGTCCACATTTGGCGTAATGCACATCATTGGAATTAGGGAGCATGTATCAGCAGCACTAAAGTCCTTGACAAATCCTTGAACGTCCTTTAGTTGGCTTGTCAGCAGTTTTTGCAGTTTCTTTGGCTCAGTGGCTTTTTGCTCTGATTAGGAGACGTGCAAGAGCATTGGTGAATTCCACTTAAGTTTTTTTCATCAGGTGTTTCTGTTGGATATTCAGCATCATTTACAAGTGCACGTGAATGCTTGGAAGAAAACATCAAGATTACTTGTGGTTACTAAGATATGGCGCTTTTCCACTGCTGGTACGGCTCGGTTCGGCTCGGTACGACTCGACTCGGTACGGCACGGTTCGGTTCGCTTTAGCTCGGTTGCTTTTCCACCGCAGTTAGTACCCCTTCAAAGTGGGTGGGACTGATCGTTATTTTGTCCCTACACTGTTTGTAGGTCCGGTGATAGCCGTGTGCGGCTAAGAGCTGAGCTACTTCTTGGAACACTTTTTCATTCCGTTTTGCCCCATCCAGCTCTCGCTGGATCCGCTCCTCGGCAACCAACGAGTGGAACGTCTGCACCTCGTCCACTGACCACGATTCAGCCATTTCTTTTTAAAGTTAAAAAAACAGATGCTACCGCGTTGGCTGTTGTCTACTGGTTATTTAAATATAGCGGGTTTAGTCTCCAATGACGCTGGTAGTGACGATTCTGTCTGACCAATCAGTGATCTGCAGTGTTTTTCAAAAGATGATGTTATTAGTATACGGTGTTGACAAAAAAAAAATCATACTCCAATATTTTCTGGGATTTTGTTAGTAACAGTTTAAGCAATATTTTTCTGTGTGTGATTTACTTAGCCCTGTAATGGTCCGCTTTTCATATTCTTCATATTCTGTGCATTCTGTGCATTGGTTAGTTCACACTTCACAGCAGTGGCAGAAATGAAGTTTTCTACTACAAGGCTGTTTTTAAAAAATAATCAATTTCTTATTTTAAATTAGTTTTTTTTTTGTATAATTGTATTATTATTATTAGACTTTTTAATTAAATTCAATAATTTTACTGAATCAGAATTTTTTTAAATTCTGTAAAGAAGCCAATAATAATAACCACACTTTTATTTAAAGTATCACACTAAAATTGGACATAATATGTTAGGGGTGCACCGATATCATTTTTTCAGAACCAATCTGATACCAAAAATTCTGAGTTTCGGCCGATACCTTTGCGTTGAACTGATAATTACTCTTTTGTGTGTCAAACATCATTATAAAGAAAAACAACAAATTAAAAAAAATATATGATCATAATCTATGACAATATATGATCATATTCTAAGTCATTGGAAAATTCTGCAGCAAAAGTTACTCTAGAAAAATCATGAGTGCACCGTAATTGTATTAAATCTAAACATTTAGTGAAAAACACATTATAAATATATTTATATATAATGTTTATAGCCTACTATAAAATTTAAAAGATTTATTTTAAATGTATAGCGCAGCTGTTTAATGAGGCAGATAGGACAGAAGAAGAAAGGCTATTTTTATAATCTTTCATTGCACAAAAGTATTATAATATGAAAGGCTCCAATACAGAGCGGCACAAAACGCTTCTGCGCATCCCGTGCACAGAATGATGCGCTTCAAGCAACATGGAGTCGCAGCGCTTCGCATTGATAATTTCAAAGCAAAAAGGGAAGAGATATTGATGCGTAGTATATCATATCAATGCAATAATAACAGTTTTAAATTTCAGTTACTGTGCACGTGAAGAACAATTCTTAGTGCTCTCTTACTTCAGTGTTGTGATCTAAAAGACACCCGGGAGAAAGTTACATGAACAGCAATAAACTCCAGCAAGATAAAGTCATTTTATGCAAAGCCATAGATCTTTATCTACATAGCAGCAAGTGTAATAATAGGAACATTGAATCATCTTGGACAGTTCCATCATGTCATAAACGAACGCGACGCGCTGTTTGAATGCTGAATGGAGAATAACTGACAGCCGCAGTGGAGGGAGAATTTACGTGAACTTGAATTTAACAACTTCAATGTTTATCTTTGTCACATTAAACTATGGAATGGCTTTAGAACACTTATAATATATTGCACGAAAAGTTGATGGTGCTTTATAATGTTTTTGTACCTTTTGTGGGGCTTAACAATAACACAGATTAGTATATGTACAATATCGGATTTGGATCGGTCCCGTTTGACCGATACCCGATCCGACAAAGAATGGCAGTATCGGATCAGCACATCCCTTGAAAATATATTAAAATATAATAAATATCTCTAGGCTATATATGTGACCCTGGACCACAAAACCAGTCACATGGGTCAATTTTTAAAATGTTTGATTTATACATCATCTGAAAGCTGAATAAATATGCTTTCCATTGATGTATGGTTTGTTAGGATAGGGCAGTATTTGGCCGACAATACAACTATTTGAAAATCTGGAATCTAAGGGTGCAAAAAAATCGAAACATTGAGAAAATGTATGTTCGCGAATCGCGATTGTGCTGCATTCACTCACAAAAATAAATATTTTATATATTTATGGTAGGGAATAGGGGTGTGCAAAGCAGCCGGTATTTGTATCTGTATTTGTATTTGTTCAGGGGGGAAAAGTATTTGTATTTGTATTCGAGTAAAATTCAAAATAGGCGTAAAATCCAGTTTTTTTTGCATTACACTTCTAATTTACGTTATAGTGTAAGTATTCTTTAATTATATCCATTATAATAATTATGGATATGCAATATTCGTTGATGTTTTTCTATAAATCCAGCAACGAACATGTAACAAGTACGTCATTGAAAAGAAAATAACATAACAGCCATTACCTCATCCATGGTTAAACCAACAACGAATAAAATACCATTGTGAACATTATGAACCCCACCACCACCCGTCCTTGTTGGAGGACGCTGAACATGAGCCCGACGCGAAGCGGAGGGGTCTTGAATCAGCTTGAAGGGGTTGTATTCGTTATAACAACCGCCTCGCTATACATTATCCCACTTATTACATGGCTACCTACCAAATAAATCAATAATTTGACTCAAAATATTGATTTAAAAAGAAGTTTATTGATTTAAAAACGATTGTATTGCTTCCGCTAAAGAAAATAGTCCGTTCCGTCTCTACGTTTAGAATCCATGGCACCGTTTTTCATGGTAACGGTGTGTTATACTTAGCAGCGGTCTGTTATTAAGAAATAACAGACCGCATTCTACATTAGAATTCAACCAAGCCATGTAATAAAAACAACCAAGCTAACAGAGCTACGTAAACAGAGCGCACATGAGAGCATCCGACTGCAGACGTCAATAATGCAGCGTAATGTATTCTATCTCCCGATCAAACTCCGCTTCCCGAAAGTTATAAACTGCCTCCGGAACCCAGTTAAGGTATAAAAATCTATTCAACAAAAATAGTGATGCAGTCAAGTGTTTTTTCGCTCAGCCGAGCGTAAATTTTATGTCTGTTGCTGTGTGGAGCAGCCTGTGTCAGTCACCTCTTCCTGAACGTCACTCACTCACTCACTCTTTCACTCATCCGTGCATGCACTGAGGTCTCGTGAGGAAACGCAGCTTTTTGATATAAAGTTTTCTTGTTCCCGAATACAAATATTTGTTAAAGTATTTGTTCGAAATATGTATTCGTAAAAAACACGTTATTTGTGCCTTTCCGAATACCGTATTCGGGTTCGGCTCCACCCATAGTAGGGAATTTACAAAATATCTTCATGGAACATGCTCTTTACTTCATATCCTAATGATTTTGGGCATAAAAGAAAAATCGATAATTTTGACCCATACAATGTATTGTTGGCTATTGCCACAAATATACCCGTGCTACTTATGACTGGTTTTGTGATCCAGGGTCACATATTACAATAAATTATTCTTCATTCAATTCTATTCAACAGAATCAGGTTTAACATTTATTTTTGATAAAGCATAGTCCTATTCTTTGACTGACTCAAAGCTATTATTATCAGAGCATGTAAGCGGTGCGTAGCGGGGAGTGAACGAGAACACATCAGTGAACAAGATTGTAGCGTCATTTTCCCAGCGTTTCTCAGCATGGCTATACAGCACAGGATAGGGCTATTGCAAACAGAAACTACTACAGAGAAATTTCATGTCTGCATGTTGTTTGAACAGATTTAGCTTTTCCGGTGAGCGTGAGCGATACATGAGTGGAGCTTTCGCTTGGCCCATGAGGGACTGAGCAGAGAGCTCACACACGGAGCGGAACATTGAGCAGAGCAAACTGGGTGACGGACAGACTTACCTGCTCTGCCAGAGGGGTCGGCAACCTATGAGGGATAATCACAGAAACCTCTGCTTGCGTGAATGGTTTGTAGGATCTGCACACTAGCGCAGGTTATAATCTCACAGTTTAATAGTATTTGTAGTTCCTAATCCTAATGTGATAAAACAGGCTGCGAGGATTAATTACCTCAAAATGTATGTTTGTATGCAAGTTTAAGGGACTTTAAATGTATTTAAATACACCTCTTTAGCTATTGTCATGTGCCAGTTATTATCCCTCCGCGTGCCATAGGTTGCAGACCCCTGCCTTAGACTACTTCTACTGTTCATACCCAACTAAATGCCAAAAAACAAACCGTCACAGTTTCATTTCTTAATTGTGTTGTTAGGAGAGAAAAGAAATGTGGAAGTGAATGTGGGTGGAATTTCACATGTA